ATCTCGTCGAATTGCTGGGGCAGACGGTCCTTCCATCTTAGAACCCATCCCCTCCTCCCCTCCTTTCTCTCGCACAGAGCAACTAATTCAAAATCTTCTCTTCTTTGAACAGTTATTGAATGATCCTCTTCATCGACGTAACTGCTACACCAAACAAAATTTTCCACGAGAGAATTCAAAAACCGATTTTAGATCAGCACTAACTATCAGCAGGAGAAGATGCACAATTCAAAGAGACATTGGATCGCTAAAAACTTCCTCGAAATGTCGAAAAGAGCAATATGCATCAGCTGGAAATTGAGATCTTACCCAAGCTGAGAGAGGTTACTTGCCAAGGAAAGAAAAAAAAGTCAGATTGAGTTTTGAATTTCCCGAGCAGAATCATGGCACGTACGATGACCAGTGACAGCGAGAAAGGGCGTTTCTGTATTTTACTTTATTTTTAAATAACTAATTAATAATTATTTTATTTTATTAATAATAGCAATAATGTTTAATTATTGACGAATGCTCTTCATACTTCCTCCCCTTCACAGTGTAAATGAATAGTTTGATCTCAAATATAAATCACCTAAAAAATAATTAATATTATTTATAGTTCTTAATATAAGATTTTGTTTAATTTTTATTTTAATCCTAAATATAAAATCTTAATATATTTTTTCTCTCACATTTAGTCATTTTTTTTTTAAAATAGTCATTCCAATAATAATAGTTCTAATCAATAAACTTGATTGGTAAAAATATTTTAAGAAAGACAATACATATTTATTACAAATAACTAACTTAACTTATTTTCTTAATATAACTAAATTAGTTAACTAGTTTTTATATTCAACACTAGAGGTAGTAATTATTTATTAATTTTGTTCATGTAATTAATGCTTAGATGTAATTCTTTATATATTTCTCACTCCTTTATAACCTTATTCAATGTGCGTAAAGTTCAGAAAGTTTCCAATCTCATTTAATAAATTAACTAATTTTTTTTTATATTGATGGATAGGTTAAAATAACTTATATTTTGAATTAGAAGGAGCATATATGTAAAGAAATTTTTTAACTCAATCATGGTTATTTGAAGTAAAACATGAGGGACGTTAATGAATGTATTTTACCTTTCTATATTTTGATGAATTTTCTATTATCAAGCAATTTTTTAATTGATTCACAAGTTTATGATATTGTTAATCATAATCAATACTGGTCATTTCCGGATAAATTTTTGTCATTTTTAATTAATGTACATGTTATTTTACATTATACATTAGAAAAAAAACATATTGTTAATCTCAAATTTAGATTTGTTATTCCCAAATAAATTGTTATCATTTTTAATTAATTTACATATTATTTTATGTCATATATCAGGAAAAAAAGTTTTATTAATCTCAAGTTTAAACTTATTATTTTTCAATCAAGATTTTTCATTCGCAGATAATTGTTTTCACGAGTTGAAGCAAGAGTAAAAGAATTAACTTTTTTTTTTACATTATTAAGTAATCATTAGTGGCCTAATGGCCATTTCTTTTGTTGGTTGAGTGACCATTGGGTGGGCTTTTGTCAAATAATTTTGAAAAAATTAACTTGCTAATCCTTATAGTTTGATCAAATTTTGAATTAGATCCTTATAGTTTTTTTTTTCTTTTTATCTCCTCCTTAGTGTTTATTCTGTCAATGATGTTGGTCCTTCTGTCAAATAAACTTGTAAACGCCGTTAATATGAGTTAAAGAGGGATGAAGTGGCTTGAATAAAGTCTGACTAAAAACACGCGTGAAGCCAACGGGGGGTGTGTTGCGGGTCAATTTAAAGCGATGGAAGTGCCGGAACTCATTGACAAGGTAGAATTCGCCATTGTCAGAACTCAGACCTTCCTACCCAACCGATTTCACAAAGTCTTCTTGAAGAGCCTCTGATTACCTAGTTCTTTGCATTCAATGCCTATAAGCAATTGATGAAGTTGGTCCAGGGTATCAGGGTTGCTCCGACATCGTAGCCTTCTATTTTCTTTATTCATTTTGACCAATTTAACAATCAAAAGACAAAAGCTAATGACCCACGTGTTTGCGCTTTTCCTTCTTTATTTGCAACCAGGCTCATTAACATAAACCCACACTAACTTGCTTCATCCCAAAGCCGTTTCTTACCCCTTAATGACTCCAAATCTCTAACAAACTATACACACACGTTGAGTTCAACATGCACCCTTCCTCAGTGCCATAAAAACAAAATGCTCTGCCTCTACATTTGATTTATATGTATGATCTTTTGGAAACTCTCAATAGTTTGTCCCTCGAACTCTATGGAGAAGCAGAGAAAGATTAAAAATGTGTATTTATGTGTCGTTTACTTTTTATATATCTCAGGATGGGGGTTGCATATTATACACATATGCTTCTGGCTTTCACTCATGAGTGAATATATAATAAAATTGTAATGGAAAAGCGGCTAGAGAAATAATATTAAAAATTCATGATAGAGTAACCTTTGAGAACTCTAGTTTTTAAGGGGTCAAGTTAGTACATGTGGTATTCACACATAAGATGGGCCTGTCTTCTCCAACTGGACAAATACTCCACAAAATGCTACTCTGTTTTTTGAAGCCAAAAACAGGGTAATGAGTGGCCCTACACTAGACTTTCTGAAATTGATTGGGTTGGATGTTCAGCAGTTCATTTGCCTTGAAACTGACCCACAACACAGAACCCATTGGCATTTGCGGGCGTCGAGGCAAACGAAGATACATGAGGGCGCTTAATGAGATTTTATTCAGGTCACTTCATCCTTGTTAACCCAAATTAACGGCATTTGCAAGTTTATTTGACAGAAGGACTAACATCACTAACGGAATAAACATTAAGGATGGAATTAAAAAGAAAAAAACTATAAGGACCTGATTCAAAATTTGATCAAACTATAAGGAGTAGTAAATTAATTTTCCCAATAATTTTTCATGGAAAAAAAATTTTGCCACAAAAAAAAAACTATCGGCAGCTACCATGCCTGGCCAAGGAGTTAAACCTTTTTACTCCTCCGGTCCTAATTATAAGACCCAATTAACTTATTTGAGGAGATTAAGGAAGTAAGTTAAGTTGGTTATTTATAATAAATAAATGTTGTCATTCCTAAAATATACTTGCTAATTAAGTATATTGGCTAAAACTATCATTATTAGAAGGATTATCTTGGAAAAAAATGCATAAATATAAGAGACAAAATGGATTGGAGTCTTATAATTAGGACCAAATAAAAAGTCAAATGGGGTCTTATAATAAGGACCGGAGGAGTATTAAAAAAAATAAAGGGACATTTTTGTCATTTGTCATAAATTTCAAAATTTCAAATTAGGTTTATTTTCTTTTCTATCATTTTCAACACTTAACTTCTTAAATCGGGAAATCACAATTTCAACCTTTTTTTTTGGTTATTTTTCCTATTTTATTTTAATAATAATAGGAATATCTCAATAATGATTAATTATTGATGAATGCTCTTCATGCTTTCTCCCCTTCGCAACATAAATTAATAGCTTGGTCTCAAATATAAATCGCCTAAACAGTAATTAACATTTCTTTATCAATTTTGTTCATGTCATTAATACTTAAATGTAACTCTTTATATTTTTCTCGCTCCTTTACAATCAATGTGGGTAAAGTTGAAAAGTTTTCATAAAGTATACTTTTAATTTTTTAACTTTACACAATGTTTTATTTTAGTCCCTCAACGTTAAAAAGTAAGCTTTTAGTCCTCTAACACTAAAATTGTTAACAAAAAATGATGATATTAAACTCTTAAATACTGATAAAGTATTATTAAATGCTAACAAAGCATTATTACATACTAACATATTAAGTTTAATATTCAAAACAACCATGATTGTTACAAAAAAAAAATTATTTAAGACTAACAATTTTGGGGTTAAAAAACTAAAAATATACTTTTTAAAGTTAAGGGATCAAAGTGAAACCTTACATAAAGTTAAAGAACTAAATGTATACTTTAATCATCTTATTTAATAAATTAATTACTATATTTTGATATTAATAAATAGTTTAAAATGATTTATATTGTGAACTGAAAGGAGTGTATATATATGTATGTATATAGAAATTTTTTGACTCAATCATGATTATTTGAAGTAAAACATGAGGGAAAGTTAATGAATTTATTTTGCCTTTCCATATTTGGATGAATTCTCTGTTATTAAGCAATTTTTTTTGGTGAATTGTATTATTAAGTAATTTTGTTCACATTGTGATTGTGATATATGCAACGAGTGATTGAAAAACCTCAAAAGCATTTAAAATAAATAAATGTTTTTATAGAAGTCGAGACAAAACGATTCTTAAATTCTTACTTTATATATCATAAAATTACTTTTAAAAGCTAATTTACCATGAATTCTAGCTTTTTAAACTGTTTTTTAACTTATTTGAAATACAAACACCAGATTACATGACAATTTCTGGCAATTCTGGGGGTGTTTGGCAAATGGGGCAAAAGTGCTTCTGGGCCCCAAACCTTGGTTTAGAAAAGCTGATTGCCAAACACCCCTTTTTTTTTTTAAAACCAAGGTTTCAGTCAAAACCTTGGTTTTGGCCAGCAAAACCAAGGTTTCCGGTAAGCAAAAAATTGTAGCTTCTGGAGTGCAAACACTGATCGGGTGGAGTAATAATTGGTCTTGTCAGAAGCTCCAACGGTGAGAAATTACTCTGCCTCTTCTCCCATTTTGCCGTCGCCTTTCGAAGATAGCACCAAACTTCTGCCTCTTCTCCCATTCCACCCGTCGCCTTCGACCGAGCTTCTTCCACAGGTGAGATAGCACCGAAATACTCTGCCTCTTCTCCCATTCCTTTGCCGTCGCCTTTGACCGAACTTCTGGCCACAGGTGAGATCGTGTTGAGCTCGTGAATTTTAGCCCTGGTGAGGTGTTCATCGGCTTGGCAACACAAGATCCCGTGCTGGGTTGGCTGATCAATTCGTCCATTTTTGATAGCTGCGTTTTTCAGTTCGTCCAGTCGTCGTTTTTCAGTTCGTCTAGTCGTTGTTTTTCAGTTCGTTCAGTAAGAAACATATATTTTACCCCAAGAAGAAAACCATATCTATCGGATCCCATTCCTTTTGCCGTCGTCGCTGCTGAAATTTCGACCGAACTTCTGGCCACAGGTGAGATCGTTGTCAGCTCGTGAATTTCGGCCCTGTTTATCGGTTTGGCAACAGAAGATCTCGTGCTGGGTTTTCTTCCATTTCTGATAGCTGCGGTGTGCATTTCGTCTGGTCAGGTAACTTCTCCCCTTCATTTCTGATCTGATGCAATGAAGATGACGTGTTCATTTATCTGATCATTTCTGGGTGGAGTTCGATTAGCCATTACCATCGGTGTCCTGTTTTTTTTTTTCCGGTCTACTGGTCCTGTTTGATTTTTTCCGGTGTCCAAGCTCAAAGGCGTGAAGAAGATGCCTCATGGAAAACACGAAAAAAAAGAACAAAATGGGACCGGACTGGTGTTGGGGGCGGCTTATCAGTATTATGAAAATAATAGCAAACTTTCCTAATTATTTGACATTTTGATCTATTTCGTTACTTGCTGGACTTTTTATTTTCACTTATTCTGAAATAAAAACTAGTACTACAAGAAATGAAATATCTAGGATTGTTACCCTGTGGCAGTGTTTGGTTTTATAACACCTTTGGTTGAGTATGATCCTTTGGTTGAAGTCAAACGAGCCTTGATGATGCCCCTCATGCTCAAACTTGTTAAATACTATACTTGTTATATCATATCTCTTGGACTGAATGGCATGTTTTTTGGATTGAACTTGTGATGACTAAAGTGTTGTAATTGGTCTATAGTATAATGAGTAAACAAACTGGCAAAGCTTCATGGGATATAAGAACCACAAAGGTTTTTATTGACCTATGCATTGAAGAAGTTGAAAAAGGGGGAAGAAAAGGAACTAGCTTGACAAAACCTGCTTGGACAAGTATTGTGGACAGCTTCACTGCAAAGACTGGAAGAGTCTATACAAGAATTCAATTGAAAAACAAATATGATACCCTGCGAAAGGAGTGGCAGTTATGGGATAGGCTGCTCCGTGAGACAGGTTTGGGATGGGATGCCGAAAGGAATACTGTTAGTGCCCCTGATGATTGGTGGGAGAAGAAAATAGTGGTAATGGTTTAACTTTATTTTAGCTTGTATTTTCTCACATGTTAATGTTTTTTGTATAATGTATTATATTTTTGGTGTTTAATGCGCAGGAAGTTCCTGGCTATGAGAAATTTAGAGAAAGAGGGCTTCAGTTTCGAGCTGAATTGACTCAACTCTTTGGGTCTGTAGCTGCAACTGGACCCCAGTCATGGGCACCTTCTTCCATGACACTTCCAAGCGAAGGAGTTCCTGAAGATGATATGGAAGAAGGGTCTGGAGATAGTGATGAACTTTTAGGAGCACCAACTGGCATAAGCGGGGAGTTTAATTCGGTCACATTCAATGACAATAGTGGAGGAAGTGGAGGCAACACTGGGATGAGACAGGAAACCATTCGTGGGGGTAGAAGCACAAGTGGCAGTCGACCTAGTAGCTCATTAGGGGTTAGAAAAAAAGGTGAATCCATGAAGAAGAAGCCCACTACCACTATGAAAATAGCAGATGCACTAAGCAGGATAGCTCAAGCAAATGAAAATGACTCTCAGCGTGAACATGAAGAGATTTCAGAAGCATGTGCTAGGAAGCTAGAAGAAGAAGCACGTGCTTATGAGACGTCAATTGCCGGAGTCATAGAGCACCTTAATGAAGTTGATGAAGTTACTGATGATCCTGATCTGTTTGGCCGGTGCACAACACTCCTCATGGACAAGCCAGCTGCAAGGAAGATGTATGTGGCTCTGAAGAACAAGAGGGAAAAACTCCTGATCTTCTTGAAGCATGCAACCAAGGATTGAGACTTCATTTGTGTTGCTTATTATAGTACTTGACTACTTTTTGGGTTGCTTAGAAGATGACTGTGATAATTTGTGTAAATTTTTAGGAATTATGTAACCAGCACTATTGTATTATGTGACTTTCAAATTTCTGTAGGAATTAAAGAACTTATTTTCTTGTAAAATGTTTAGTAATTTCATATCAGGGTTTCTAAATTTTATGTCTATGTGCACAGGACAAGACAAAAAATGGCTGATGAAATTAAAATTGCGGAAAAGTATCGAAAACGACGGAACAAACGGGTTAATCAAGTTGCAGCAGCGGTTGGTGGATACGCTTCTCTTCATTTGTGTAAAGAGCCCCAGCATACAAGCATTTATACAGGCAAGGCATGGGTAAGGGATGTTTTACAAGGCCATTCCACCCGTTGTTATAACATGTTTAGGATGGAAAGGGAAGTGTTCTTCAGTCTTTGCACAGAATTGCAACAACACGGTCTAAGGGAAACTAGAAATGTTGGGATATATGAAATGGTTGCAATGTTTTTAAATACCGTTGGCCATGCGCTTAGTAGTAGGATGCAGCAAGAAAGATTCCAACATTCAGGGGAGACAATTAGTAGACATTTTCATAATGTCTTATTGGCATGCTGTAGACTTGCTATGTCCAATATCAAACCAAAAGATCCAACATTTCAACATTTGCATACAAAAATACGGCCCGGTGGTCGATACTGGCCCTTTTTCAAACATGCTATTGGAGCAATTGATGGAACACATATTTCATGCATTGTTGATGTAACTGAGCAAACAAAATTTATTAACCGAAAAGGAAAAGTGACGCAAAATGTAATGGCGGTTGTGATTGGGACATGTGCTTCACTTTTGTATTGGCCGGATGGGAAGGTAGTGCGCATGATGCTCGTATATTTGACCACGCCCTCACAACTCCTTCCATGAATTTTCCCCATCCGCCTCAAGGTATATTTTAAATTGCTACAATTTATTTATGTTTAACTATTAGAAGACAAAGTTTATTAACACCAATCATATATTTCATGTAGGAAAATATTATTTGGTCGATGCTGGCTATCCGACACCCATGGGATCTCTTGGTCCCTATAGACGTGAACGCTACCATCTCCCTGATTTTCGAAGGTCATCTGCAATTTGAAAATGACAATGAGGCGTTCAATTATTTGCACTCAAGTCTACGGAGCACTATTGAAAGAACTTTTGGAGTTTGGAAGAGTAAGTTTGCAATTTTAGGAAACATGCCGAGCTATGACTTTCCAACACAGGTTCAAATTGTTTGTGCAACAATGGCCATACATAACTTCATTAGATCAATATCCATTTCTGATCCTGGTTTCATTCAGTTTGAACAAGAAGGTTCTTATGCAGAAGAAAATAATGATGATGATGGACTTGGATCTTCACATATACCTTCATCAATAGAATCTTCATCTCACATGGCTCAACTTCATGACTCAATTAGAGATCAAATTGTTCACTATATACGAGAATAGTCATGTCCTTTTTATTTCCTCTTTTCTTTTCAGATAATATAATGTGTTGTTACAAAAAAAAAGTACTTGGACAAATATATTTTGTTGCAACTTCTATTATGAAGACAATTGATATGAAATTTTTTTGTGTGGTTCTTTAATTCTGTCAAAAAAAAATTATGGGATTTCTTCATCTTTAAAATCTTTAAGAAATAATCATATTTCTTTGTTGGCAAAATAAATTATTTTATGAAAAACATATTTAATTATTTCATTAAATATATACGTTTTAATTTTAATTATTTTATTATATATATTTTATTAATATATATACATATTTAATTATTTTATTAAATTATTTTGCAAAAAGTATTTATTTATTTTACTAATATATATACGTATTACTTTTTTTCTTAATATTTTTTATTTACTTCAAATAAACATATATTATGAAATATATCTTATATGTAATTATCATCTAAACTTATGTCCTTTTTAGTAATTTTTACATATAAAAAAGCACTTCTGACAATAACTATCCAAACACTCTCACTTTATCAGAATCACTTTTTCAGAAAAGCTATTCTCTCAAAATCTATTCTCTCCAAAATCTATTCTCCAGAAACTATTCTCCAAACTATGGTTTGAGGTTATCCAAACACCCCCTCTGAATAAGATTCCCATTATGGAATCCACCATGGCATCTATGAATTGGTAAATTATCATTTCCCGTAGTCTCGCAATTTTTTAAAAAAATAATTGAAGTACACGATTTAGAAAGAGGAAAATGACTTCAATGACACCATAGTAGAATTATTGACTTTTCAGACTTTATTTTTCTTTTCGTTTCATCATTCACCAACACCCACCAAACGAAAATATAATAATATTCATCTACTTTTATTTTTATAAAAAAATTAATTAATTTAAATATCCTTCCCTCGCCTTCATCTTTTTCGTACCAAATGGATCCTTAAAAGGGCATGCTGCTTAAGACAATTGAAAGTCCCAACGACGATCAATCATCAACTAATTAGTATTAACTATTATTATTACTACTGCTGCTGCTGCTATTACTTTACTACTATACTAAATGATGTTCTCTCCTTCTGATTGTCCTTTATAATGCTCCTCATTGGTCATCAGCATTCTCCCCCCATGATTGGTCCATTATAATTCTTCTTATGGTGTATTTGTAATGCGTTTGATTGGTTGCTATTCGAAACTTGCTATTCGTCTCTCCAATCTCCTCTATTGTGTGTTTCATCTTCTTATTGGCTATTTTTAATCTCTTCTGTCTACTTAACCTTATTGTTTTTTTTATTCATTTTTAAAAATTTGCGTTTCATTTTTCAGAATTGAGTATTGTGGAATGTTGTGCATATTTATTATATGTTCTCAGATTTATTTTCTCTGTTGACCAACATCAACAAAAAAAAAAAAGAAGGGGAAACTACCATTGTGAGATCTTCTCATAGGTTAATGAAACAAAATCTTCTTCTAGAATTTTAACAGCTATATAAGTTTCCCAGATCGACATATTTATTTACAAGTTTTGCATTTTTTTTTCCTATTTATAAATCTAATACTATTTTCCATACAAAATTTTCTCCTAACAATAAACCTCGCATACATTTTTTTTTTTTACATTTAAACAAAAAAAATTATCCTAATGATGATTCCTCACCGTGCATCAACGGGGGTGTCACTAGTTGACTTGTTGAATCCATATTTGGCGTTACGGATACAAAGCAAATTTACAGTTTGAGACATATCAAGAAGCTACTGTTTTGATAACATAATAATAAAGTGCCAAGTCAAAGTCCGAAACTTGACCTTCTTGTATGAATTGGATAAGTACGTGACCTCTAATTATGAAATTTCTTATTTAACTCTTCTTCGTACAAACGGATACATACATACATACATACATACATACATACATACATATTTATTTATATCATTATGATATGATATAAACTTTATACTATATCCGGTCTTTAATATTAAAATTAATTTGATATTTAATTTGGTCCTAAATATAAGATCTCAATTCATTTTGTCATTAATATTTATCTATTTTTTTAGAATGGCTCTTATAGCAGTTATGTATGTTAAATGTTCTATTAAATGATAATTCTAACTGATATATATGATTAGCAAGGATATTTTAGAGAAGATAACATCTAATTATTACAAATAACTAACTTACCAAATTTTTTTAATTTACTCAAATTAATTAACTAATTTTTATATTAAAGACTAGAGGTATTATATGTTAAGATAGAGTTTGCGGAATAAAGCGCGCTGTTTATCAAATGAATACCCTTGTAGGCTTGACATTCAATTACCCTGTTTCTTTTAATGGGCCTGGATGGAGGTTTTTGGTTCTGTTTTTGTATACAAGAGGGCTAAGCCCAAGTTAAAAGAAAACTGGACAGGTGGGGATTGAAATGAGTTAGGGAGGGTCAGTAACCATTAAGGCACCCTCGGTCAGAGGAAAATTAATTAGTGTGCTAACGACGAATCATATGTACATTTGACATGGGCCTTCTTGGTTTGTTTGAAGTCCCGAGCAAAGATATTCCTATGCCAACACTTATGACTCACCTGATCAGAGTTGAGCCTAACAGAAGGAATTAGTCTCTTACAATATAACGAATTAATATTTAAATTTTTACTAAAAAAGTGTCCATATTTTGGTCCCATTTAATATGATATATTAAAAATGAGAGATAAGGATTATAATTGAGAAAAAAATTAAAAACTGTTTAGTATGAATAAGTTCTTATTACATTATACTCCCTCTGTTTCTTATTATAAGAGACAAATAACTAAATTACGTTAATCAAAAAAATAGTTAAAATTAGTTGAGGA